ACTTGAAATTTCAAAAATTTCAAGTGTCCACCATTTCTGCTTGGAAACAATATTTTAACCACAGAATTTAACCCACTAAGATTGATTTTGTAATTTGAATCTTAATGTTTTAGACCCAATGAGGATGTCAAATTCACAACTTACATTTCCTCGAAGCTTTATTTGTGTGATTTATCTAACATGTCAATGTGAAAAATTCTGCATAACACAATGTATTCTGTGATCATTTATTATGAACGAGAATCAAAAGTCAGTAAGAGTAGAACAGCTACTTGTTTTACTGTCTTTATCTTAAACATTAGTTGCCTAGGCTTTTTTGTATATATATGTATGTATATATTTTATGAGTGATATTTTTGCTGAAATATCTTTCATTTCATTTCCTACAGTGGATTCAATTTCACCTTCTGCAGTCTTAAAATGATTTTGACACGCTGGATTATCCTATGAGAAATAGTGATGAACATTTTGCAAAAAAAAATTTTCCCTGGGCAAAAGTGGTGGCCATCTTAGATTTTTCGAGTGCTTTAGGGTTTTATTAAAACGCAGCAATTAATAACCCAAGAGGATTGTGCCAAGTTTAGCACTGGGTAGTCACATTTGAAAGATTTTCCCTTAAATATATGCAGTTATCTGCTGAGCTAGAGCTATATAAACCTAATGAGTTTGGGCTGGGTATAGTTTCAAATGTCGCAGCTTTAAATCTTTAATGCCTGAAACAACAGCCAAGTTATTTTAGCAGCAACAAGGCTAGCACTGGTCTAGCACCCTTCTTACATTTGATTAATTTGCTATGGCTGAACAGGCAAAAATACTAACCATAAAACAAATAGAAAATCACCAACATTATGATTAAATCAAGAAATATCTGAAAAAAGCGAATCGTTCATTTACCTTATAAAAGGTATTGAATACCCCAGGCCCCCAGACTAACGCTGAAACAGTTAACATGGTTTAACCAACCCTTACAGTATTGCTGAAGGTTTAAAAAAGGCCAAACATCTGGCAGCGTCAGCACATACCTTTGCGCAAACTTCGACTATAAGGATGACAATGGAGACCAACGATGAAGAATGAGCAGTGAAGGTTGCAACACACACACACATAGATAATCAAATACAAGGCAAGAGGAAAGGTTTGTCAGTACCACACAGATACACACACAATAAAGTTATTACCACCATCAACAGTAACTTTACTGCATCAGTAATTAGACAGGAACAGAGTTAAAAGAAAGGATCGTAATCAGAATAGAAACACAACTGGGTCACAGATTATTTTAGAAAAGAATTATAATCGTAAAACAAAAAAAAACAGCTTCCACAGGGATCAAGTGTTTGCTCCATGGAGAGATTAATATTTTTATTCATTTATCTATTTTTTTATTTTTAACTATAGAAAAAGGTTTTCACTCAAAGCAGAGATTAAATGAGTTAATTAACCAAAACCAAACCTGAACCTGGTCAGATTATTGCAGTTTCTTGTTAGCTGAGTTAAACGTGACGTGTCTGACATAACCTGTCGGTGCGTCCCCCGTCCAGGCTGAAGCGGAGGTAGTTCATCCCATCCAGGTACTGTCCAGGGAGGGAGTCATCTCCCAGCTCCCTGAGGTCCTCGGCCCTCAGATACTCCCCTCCGTCACCCGTCATCGTGTCGTCGCCTTCAGAGAGCAGACAGAGGATCAGAGGTGAGTTCTTGAGTGAAAGACAAAACAAGCTCATTCAAAGGAACAGGGAGGTTTTAAGAGCATATGGCCGTTAGTCAGGTTACAATGATACGATATGAATACAGACAGCAAACGTTTCACACTGCAGCACTAAACATGTTAGCACAGAATACGTTGAAAGATTAAAAGGCAACTAGCACTAGAAGAGTAGAAAAAGCTTGTCAGCGCTGACAGCCACTGTCATGCTTCTCTTCATCAGTTAACACCTTTCACTCCCATATGGAAACTAACTGACGACTGAATGAGTGGGAAACGTTTTCTTAAACCTGGAAAAAGTCATTTGAAAACTAATCTTAAGTCAACCTTCAAATCCTAGCCTAGCTTTTTCTGAGCCTCTTCAATTGCACCAAGCAACCGGGAGTCTGCTAATTTATCTACCGATGAAGACTGTGAAATATGAGTGATAGACCTCCAAAAAACATCTGTAAATGGACCTTGATTGAGCTAACCTATTTGTAGGAACTAACTCAAACAGTGGAACCATGTGTCATATAGTGCTTTTTTACTTCTTAACTGAACAAACCAGAATTAGCAACTTTAGAATTACATAACATTAAAATTTAGCAAACTTGCCATTTAGGTTCTCATTCCAGAGGCTGCAGAATTACTGTCATCTACCATATTTCCGAAATTTTGATTCTAGCAACGGTTAACTCTCCGCTCTGTCATCTTATACCAACAGATACATGTTTCTCTATGGCCTTGTTTTCTCTGCACTCACAGTGGTAAAGCTCTACTGCCGGTTCCACTACTGTACAGCAGGGGTCAGCATCACTATTGGTTGCAGGTTAACCTGGGCCAAAACATCACTTTCATCTTATACCTTTTATGGCACATTAACACTTCCATGCTCTCAGAACCATGAACATAAAAAGATCTAACACAAAATAGAGGCTCATGACAAACCCACATTAATGGCACATTCATATTTATGGATGGATTTAGTAAATTTAAAGTAACATTAATTAAAGAAATAGACAATATCTTTCAATGTGACCATTTTACCACCTGCAATAGGCTTGATAATATTATGAGGTGAGCTTTCTTCCAAACATATTTCGAATCATTGTTTGAATATATATCCAGTGCCAGTCAAAGGTTTGGACACAGTAAGGTGCTGGCGCCACCAAAACACGCTTCAAGTCTCCTTGGCATTGATTCTCCAAGTCATGAGGGGTCACTGATGGTTTTGATGAGTATGAAAATTATGTGAATCATAGATAAAGACCTTCACAGTCACCTGATCTCAACCCAGTTCAACACCCTACGGGAGATTTTGGACCGAGGTGTTAGACAGCACTCTCCAACCACACCTCCAACCTGAACAACCAGACAGGTGGTTTTGTCCGACCTTATGATCAGACCCATAGGAGTGTCTAACTGAATTACGCCCCAACGGCAGCAGGCGTATCGGACCTTGGTTGTCATGGTTACAATAATAAACAGACGGACTCTACCAGTGCGGCGTACCCATCTTCACTGCCATAGTTACTATCATTACAGGTCATGGCATGATTAGTTTACGGAAAGATGGTGATTTGGGTTAAAATAAGTGTCTGTGCAGCAGGTTCAATTCCCATGTGAAACCAGCAGTTCATGTTGTTTCTATTATCCATGACCGTTCCTTGTTATTACTCTAACCATGACAACAAAGATTGTCTAATCTTGAGGAAGGACTTATTTTAACCCAAATCACCATCTTTCCGTAAACCTAATCATGCCATGACTGTAATGATAGTAACTATGGCAGTGAAGATGGGTACGCCGCACTTGGTAGAGTCCGTCTGTTTATTATTGTAACCATGACAACCAAGGTCCGATACGCCTGCTGCCGTTGGGGCGGTAATTCAGTAGACACTCCTATGGGTCGTATCATAAGGTCGGAACAAACCACCTGTCTGGTTGTTCAGGTTGGAGGAGTCGATGGTGGAGAGTGCTGTCTAACACCTCGGTCCAAAATCTCCCGTAGGTGTTGAACTGGGTTGAGATCAGGTGACTGTGAAGGTCTTTATCTATGATTCACATAATTTTCATACTCATCAAACCATCAGTGACCCCTCATGACTTGGAGAATCAATGCCAAGGAGCACTGAAGCTGTTTTGGTGGCCCAGCACCTTACTGTGTCCAAACCTTTGACTGGCACTGGATATATATTCAAACAATGATTCGAAATATGTTTGGAAGAAAGCTCACCTCATAATATTATCAAGCCTATTGCAGGTGGTAAAATGGTCACATTGAAAGATATTGTCTATTTCTTTAATTTAATGTTACTTTAAATTTACTAAATCCATCCATAAATATGAATGTGCCATTAATGTGGGTTTGTCATGAGCCTTATTTTGTGTTAGATCTTTTTATGTTCATGGTTCTGAGAGCATGGAAGTGTTAATGTGCCATAAAAGGTATAAGATGAAAGTGAGTGTTTTGGCCCAGGTTAACCTGCAACCAATAGTGATGCTGACCCCTGCTGTACAGTAGTGGAACGGCAGTAGAGCTTTACCACTGTGATGCAGAGAAAACAAGGCCATAGAGAAACATGTATCTGTTGGTATAAGATGACAGAGCGGAGAGTTAACTGTTGCTAGAATCAAAATTTGGAAATATGGTAGATGACAGTAATTCTGCAGCCTCTGGAATGAGAACCTAAATGGCAAGTTTGCTAATTTTAATGTTATGTAATTCTAAAGTTGCTAATTCTGGTTTGTTCAGTTAAGAAGTAAAAAGCACTATGATACACATGGATTCTACTGTTTGAGTTAGTTCTACAGAATAAGCTCAATTCAAGGTCCATTTACATGTTTTTGGAGAGGCTATCACTCATATTTCACAGTCTTCATCGGTAGATAAATTAGCAGACTCCAGGTGCTGGTGCAATTGAAAGCTCAAGAAAAAGCTAGTAAGTTGAAGGTGACTTAAGATTAGTTTTTCAAATGACTTTTTCCAGGTTTAAGAAACGTTTCCCACTCATCAGTCGTCAGTTAGTTTCCATATGGAGTGAAAGGTGTTAACTGATGAAGAGAAGATGACAGTGGCTGTCAGCGCTGACAAGCTTTTTCTACTCTTCTAGTGCTAGTTGCCTTTTATCTTTCAACGTATTCTGTGCTAACATGTTAGTGCTGCAGTGTGAAACGTTTGCTGTCTGTATTCATATCGTATCAGTTGTAACCTGACTAACGGCCATATGCTCTTAAAACCTCCCTGTTCCTTTGATGAGCTTGTTTTGTCTTTCACTCAAGAACTCACCTCTGATCCTCTGTCTGCTCTCTGAAGGCGACGACACGATGACGGGTGACGGAGGGGAGTATCTGAGGGCCGAGGACCTCAGGGAGCTGGGAGATGACTCCCTCCCTGGACAGTACCTGGATGGGATGAACTACCTCCGCTTCAGCCTGGAGGGGGGACGCACCGACAGGTATGTCAGACACTGTCACGTTTAACTCAGCTAACAAGAAACTGCAATAATCTGACCAGGGTTCAGGTTTGGTTTTGGTTAATTAACTCATTTAATCTCTGCTTTGAGGTGAAAACCTTTTTCTATAGTTAAAAATAAAAAATAGATAAATGAATAAAAATATTAATCTGCTCCATGGAGCAAACACTTGATCCCTGTGGAGCTGTTGTTTTTTTGTTTTACGTATAATTCTTTTCTAAAATAATCTGTGACCCAGTTGTGTTTCTATTCTGATACGATCCTTCTTTTAACTCTGTTCCTGTCTAATTACTGATGCAGTAAATTACTGTGATGGTGGTACTAACTTTATGTGTGTGTATCTGTGTGTACTGACAAAACCTTTCCTCTTGCCTGTATTTGATTATCTATGTGTGTGTGTTTTGCAACCTCTCCTGCTCATTCTTCATCGTTGGTCTCCATTGTCATCCTCTATAGTCGAATACAAAGGTATGTGCTGACGCTGGCCAGATGTTTGGCCTTTTAAACCTTCAGCACTACTGTAAAAACCAGTGTAACTGTTCAGGTTAGTCTGGGGCTGGGTATTCAACTTTTATAATGAACGATATCGCTTTTTTTCCAGATATTTCCTGATTTAAATCATAATTTGATTTCTTATTTGTTTTATGTTATATTTGCCTGTTCAGCCATAGCAATAATAAAATGTAAGAAGGGTGTGAGACAGTGCTAGCCTTGTTGCTGCTAAAATAACTTGGCTGTTGTTTCAGCATTAAGATTTAAACATTTTAAACTATACCCAGCCCCAAACTCAATTAGTGTTTAATAGCTCTAGCTCAGCAGATAACTGCATATTTCAGGGAAATCTTTCAAATGTGGATACCAGTGCTAAACTTGGCACAAATCCTCCTTGGGTATTAATTGCTCGTTTAATAAAACCCATAAGCCACTCGAAAAATCAAGATGGCCACCACTTTTTGCCCAGGGAAAATTTTTTTTTGCAAAATGTTCATCCACTATTTTCTCATAGGAGTAATCCAGGTGTCAAAATCATTTTAAGACTGCAGAAGGTGAAATTGAATCCACTGTAGGAAATGAAATGAAAGTATATTTCAGCAAAAATATCACTCATAAAATATATACATACATATATATACAAAAAAGCCTAGCAAGCTAATGTTAAGATAAAGACCAGTAAAACAAGTAGACTGTCTACTCTTACTGAACTTTTGATTCATCGTTCATAATAAATGATTCACAGATACATTGTGTTTTATGCAGAATTTTTCACATTACATGTTAATAAATAACACAAATAAAGCTCTGAGGAAACGTAAGTTGTGAATTTGACATCCTCATGGTCTAAAACATAAGATTCAATTACAAAATCAATCTTGTGGGTTAAATTCTGTGGTAAAATATGTGTTTCCAAAGCCAGAAATGGTGGACACTTGAAATTTTGAAATTTCAAGTGGCTAATGGGATTTTTCAAAAGAATGGCCCCTGAAGGATAAACATACACATTTTGGTGTTTGTATGCACATTTGGCAGTTATCTGCTAAAATTAGTCCACCTATTTAATTACATAATTCTTCCCTAATTGACATTCATGCAAGTCATGAGATCAAGGACAGTAACTCAACTAATCTTGATAACTGTTAGTGAGTGTAACTGATAGTCAGTCTTGTGGTCCTCATGAGTTCCTGCTCTGCTGTGATCTATTGTCGTGATCTCTGAGCATCATCTGCTTCACTGCTTTCCTCTTCTCTGCTGCAGTTCAGACAGGTCCTTCACCCCCACCCACCACAGCTACTACTCCCCCAAACATGAAGGCCTGATGGATGAGATGCTCATCAGCCACCAGGTACAGTCTGATCACCGTGGTCACAGCCGCTGCAGGTGAAATACACCTCCAGCTGTGATAGTCACTGTGGCTCTTCTCTGATGTGATGCTGTTTGTATCACTAATGGAAAGTAACAAGTAACTGTATAAGCGCCACTGTATTGATAAAAGTTAAAGGGGAACTTCAGGGATTTATACGGAAGCACTGAAAGACAAGTGAAAACATTTTTTTGCCAGGATCATTTTTCTAAGTTTTAGTGGTTTATCTATAATAAGGTTCTTTGTTTGGTTCCAGGTTTCATCACTGGCGAGGGAGAATGAGAGAGATTCATACAGACTGAGCTGGGGAACAGAGAACCTGGACAACGTGGCTTTATCCTCTAGTCCCATCCACTCCGGGTAGGTACAGTCAGACTGGAGAAAACAATGGTTCACAACCAAAAACTATGGTCAACAAACTGAATAACAAAATTGTGAAACCCTTACATTTTGGAATATGAGGGCAGAGGAGGAAATGTGCAGACATTCATTTACTGAAACATCCTGTAAATTCATGAATATTCAAAAACAATTAATCCTGTTTCTCAATGTCCAGATAGCAGAGCTGCTAGTGTGGTACAAGTGGTTCATTACATTTACAATTACATGATTTAATTTGCTTATTTGCCTTAATTTTAGCTTCAAGTGTTTCAATTATCTGTTATGTCTCTGGTGCTGGGAGTGAAGTGCTTCACTCACTTGGCAGCTGCTGGATTTACAGAGTGTAAAGATATTTGCATATTGCCTATTTTGTAATGAGACTCTTGTAATTTTGTCTTTAATCTGGCTGAAATCCTGTGATTGTCTTCTGGTTTTATGCATCTTTACACTCCATGAAGAAATTAACAAAATGACTAGAATAAATCTATATATTTGTATATTTGTATAGACATTTACAGAGAATTTTGAACTAATGTTTTAACTTAAAAACTTTTTTGTCCTTTTGGCTTGTAAAATACCATGAAACAATATACACACATAGCTTTATTTGCTATCATTTCAGTGAAGTTTACATTTAATAACAAAAGAAACATTATGGGAAATGTAATGATTTGGAGTGAGGAGCAGTCTGGAGTCAACGTGTGGTTAGCCTACACTATAGCTGGAAACACTGCTCAGAAGTGCTGGGTGGAAGGATAAACTGTTGTTTGTCAAAAAATAGTTCCAGCATGTAAAACCACAAATGTTAGGTTTTACATTTGTGGTTGAGTTGAGGTTATGAAAATTGATCAATACGCTTGAGAGGTGTTGATAGGCCAGCTGCTGCTTCCAGTCTTAATGCTAAGCTAGGCTAGGCTAATCAGCTAATCACATACTGACTCCACACACAGACATGAGACTGACACCACTATGCTCATCTCACTCTAGGAAAGAAACTAAATTCAAAATGTTGAACCTTTGCAGGGACGCGTCAAATATTTTCCATGTTTACAGACATAGAAGCAGTGAAATTTCTGTGTAATTAAGACACAATTTTGCAATAATGTTTTTGTGATTCTTGCTAAACATATCTGTTTAATGCTGATTTCAATATGAGTTGGACATCGTTCTGTTAGTGTAAGTGCTCAGCGTCTCAGTGCCTCCTCTCTGATGCTGCCCCTCTGGCTCCTCTTTCTCAGCTGTTTCTGCTTGACCTTTGATTCCTTTCTGTCTGATGTGGTTGTTGTTTTTAGCCATTCCTCTCCGTGCCATGATCATGGAGACCACAGCAGGTGACCTTCTGCACCTTGATTACGTCATACTCCTCCTCATCTTCATCATTCTCTTCCTCCCCTCACAGTGTGCTCTCCTGGTGGAGAGGTGTTTGTGTATGTTACTGTCCTTAACCAGCACTGCCCTGTGTCGCCAGTCTTTCAGTCAGGTTCACCAGGTCTCCATATGTTAAACACACAGGTGACAAATTCAAGGAAAACCAACATAAAGAGTCTCAGTACAGTGTTGTTCCACCGTGAGCTGCTAGAACAGCTTCACTGCTCCAAGTCTCTGAACTCTACTGGAGGAAGAACCATTCTTCATACAGATATTCCCTTATGTGGTGTTAAATGATGGTGGTGGAGAGGGCTGTCTAACACATCACTCCAACATGTAGATGTTCAGCTGGGTTGAGATCTGGTGTCACATCATTTTCATATCATCAAACCATCAGTGACCCCTTGTGTCCTGTGGAAGGAGACACTGTCGTCCTGTCTCTGCACAGTTTTTTCAGGTTTTTCCTTTAATTTGTCGCCATGTGTGAATTTGAAATGGTGCGTTTCCACTAACACACCTATCAATGCTCCATATTAGTCTGAAGAGTTCTTGGCATTGAACAAGATTCAGCATATAATTGTAAAAAGTATAGGACAGTCATCTTGGATCTGATTGATTTACTGTCTTTTAATCATTAAAGTTTCTGAACAGAGCAGAGGACAGAGTCTTTGTCTCTAACAGTTTTACTGGGCGTGTTGCTGAATTCAATAACAAGTGTTTCTTGTCACCTTTATGTGTTTTAATCATTGTTGTGTTTGCTTCATTGAAGCCACCACACAGACACAATCACATTAGAATTTGGTATGTTATCATACTGTAATGTAACCTCATCACACCCAACCCCCCCACCCCCATTCAGATGTGAGACTCATGTGCACACAGTATTTGCCACTTTGCATGGGGAGTGATGTCAAAGAGTCTGAAGCTATGAAGTGAAAAACTGTTTGATGCAGTTTGATGAGAGTGATTCTTGTCTTGTCCGTTCAGTGTTGAGAAAATAAACACCAAAATATTTAAAACCTGTAAAGCTGATGTTGCCCTTAAAAGTTGAGTCTGACGCAATGAAACAATCGAACAACTGAGAAAAGGCAGCTTCCAACTTAGCAACACAAAACATTCAAATAATCAGCATGTGTATGTAATTTTGGATTAGTAACCAGTAACTTTGGTGTCTACATTCTCATCACTTAATGGGCGTAATGTTACACATCTTTAAATTGTGGAAATACTTCCTTTTCCATCCCAGCTTCCTGGTCAGCTTCATGGTGGATGCCAGGGGCGGAGCTATGCGTGGTTGCCGGCACAACGGTCTGCGCATCATCATCCCGCCGAGGAAGTGCAGTGCGCCCACACGGGTGACGTGCCGGCTCGTGAAGAGACACCGTCTGGCCACCATGCCCCCGATGGTTGAGGGCGAAGGCCTGGCCAGCAGGCTTATCGAGGTGGGGCCCTCAGGAGCCCAGTTCCTCGGGTAAGGCTCCAAGTGTTCATTCATCTTCACGATGGATGATGGAATGAATGAATGCCCTTATTCAGTTATTAAATACAGAGGGGTGAAGCAAAAAAATGCTAACCCTAACCACAAAGCAGGTAAATACATTGATACTACATGAAGAGGTCGAATCATCAATCATTTTTTACATGTTTTTACATAGTTGTTTATATTTTATGCCAATAACCTTTGAAACTAAATTAAAAAGTGTTTATATCTGTTAAAGCTGCACATCCAGTGTAAGACAGATCTTTAGTAAGACAGGAAGAGGAGTTACCACTACCTCTACCATAGATTTGTATCCTGTTTAATAAGAAGCTTACAACTTGCTGCCCTTTTTCTTTCAGATTAATTTCCCCCCTGCCTCTGCCTTACTAAAACTGTTTCTGTATCTGCTCTTGCTTTCTCCCAGCGCCAGAGATATGTTAATCTTTGCTCTTCAGCATGCCCTGTTTTCTTTCATTACAGCTGCAGTCTAACTCTTTTTAACCTTATCCCTAATCCGTAATGCAAAAGCCTTTCTAATTAACTCCACCGCCAGTATAATGCACCATGATTGATTTGATATGTTGCCTCAAATTCTGCCCTCTGCTGGTAATGTTGGAGATTGTACAGTGTATGATTACCATTAGTGATATGATAGAGGTTCCCCCTGATCAAAACTACTGAGATACATTTCTCTTGTTATTATATGATGATGATGATGATATGATGATATCTCTGAGGATTATTTAAGTCTACAGTTAAAAAACATGCCTCATTTTATCTTAAAATGTTCCTGTTATAAATGTAAATGATCACTTTTTGTTTGTTGTTTGGCATGAGTGTGGTAACACCGTACCTGCCATATATGTGCAACAGCAAAAATGTCCTGTCTGGCCTTCATAAACATATATAGAGGCCCAATGTGTTCAAACTTAATTTCAATTTGAATTTTCAATTCAATTAAAAAGACATTCTGAAAGTAAAAAATATAAAATATAAAATGAAATTGTGAAGCATCCAAACAAACATTTTTTATTTTGGAATCTTTTTTTTTTATTATTTAATTTTGGATACTTTTGTTATAATCTCACTCAAAGATTGCACATTAGTCCCCACGGTTTCTATTCTGCACCCAACCAAAACATTTTATGTGCTCTTTCTTCCTCACTGCTGCATATGGACACTTGGTTGATCACACAGTAAACTCCACCTCCCGAGTGCCCCTCCACCTCTTAATGAGGGAGAGAGTTTGGTTAGCAGAATCCTCCAGCTCGGCCCGCCGGGGACAAAATTCCTCGGGTAGGGTGTAAAAAAATCAGTGGTTTTGCATATGAAACAATCCATGGATGCCGGTCCCAGTGTTTCCCCTTTCACACCCTCCCATCTGATGTTATTTTGTCCAAACATTACTGTGTTGTCATGCTTGTGCTATTGTCTCGTATCCCACCTCATCTGGTACTTATTACTCCAGACATCACATTCTGTGTCAGTACGTTGCTGTTCTTTTTTTTTTTTAAATCTTCTTTTCTGCTTAGACTTTTCCATCTCTGTCTATGTTTTTGTGCTTCCAGTTTTCTTGATAAATGTGTGTTGTTTTGTTTTTGTTTGCTTGTTTTTTTTTTTTTATTTTAGTGTGAAATTTAAATGGTTGTGTGGCCTGCAGGTAGTAACTACATGAAATTTGACCACATGGCGTGACCAACAGACTAATTCCCCAAAATGGTGGTGCTCATTCCACAAATTTGGAATGAGAGTCTTTGGATATGGATTATTTTAGATTTTAGCTGGTAAATCCCAATTTAAAAGCAACAAAACCTAAACATTTCGAGTACTTTTCTTGCATCATTCTGGAGCAATAGAAAAAAGAGAATTATGCCTAAGGACCACACTACATTATATAAATTCTTTATATTGAAATTCTTTCTGCCAGCATCATGTATTGTCAGGCCAAAGAACCATCTGAATATCGCATGAAAAGATCAGCAGTTCTACTTTAATAGCTGTGTTTGTCCCATGTTAGATTGTACTTAATGTAGCATGCTTCTTTTAGACGTGTTGTAGCTAGCTTGTTGTGATTATTATTATGCATATCAGGTAAGTATTAAAGTGACACTTTAAAACTTAAGTATTAAATATATGTCATAATACACAGCAACACTTTCCTTATGTGGCTGATTCACCTCCACAAGATAATTACAAGCTGAGAGAGAACAAAAAGATAAAAAACACTTTTCAGATCCTGCAGAATAATCCACCTCTCTACTGTCCATTATGGCTAAAAGCATTGCTTCTATTGTAGCTTGCTATGAGACACTTTTTAAATTTGTCTTTCACAACACGTAGTGAGTGAGTGCCACGTAGCAGCTCAGTTTACAAACAAAAAGGTACACACTACTAGTCATCTGAATCCATCTGAATCGCACTCGCACATACTTGATTGGCTAAAGACGTACGTTGGATGACATGGCACTGAAAGCTTGTTTTTTTTTCATAGGCTACAATATCACTGTCAGTCCAGCCAAGTTTTAATGAAGTGCAAAGTTATTTTAATGGAAGCTGCAAAATAGCCAATACATTGTGGATGACAGACATCACACTCTGGACTCACTGGCTCACACTACCTGCCCTCTGCCCCTCCAGTCCTGTGATCGTGGAGATCCCTCACTTTGCTGCCCTGCGGGGGAAAGAGCGGGAGCTGGTGATCCTGAGGAGTGAGACAGGAGAGAGCTGGAAGGAGCATCACTGTGAACACACCCAGGAGGAGCTCAACCAGATACTCAACGGCATGGATGAGGGTCAGTCTCTGACAGTGCACAAGTAGACTGCACAAAGAAGCATCCTAACATTAGTTTCCCTGACAGCTGTCCTTTGCTTCCCCCCTCCAGAGTTGGACACCCCGGAGGAGCTGGAGAGGAAGCGCATCTGTCGTATCATCACCAGAGATTTCCCACAATACTTTGCAGTGGTATCACGCATCAAGCAGGACAGTAATCTAATTGGTCCTGAGGGAGGTATCCTGAGCAGCACCGTTGTGCCCCAAGTGCAGGCAGTTTTTCCTGAGGGAGCCCTAACCAAGAGGATCAGGGTCGGACTGCAGGTAATTGACATTTACCTTTTTTGTTGTATTTTTCTTCTCATAGTAAACTAGAGAATTTGTTAAAAAAAGAAAAAAAAAGAAACACGCATTAACAAATAGGTTTCCTGTTTCGGATTCTAGAAAAATAATTAGGGGATCACCATCATAGTAAATTAAAAATTAAACAATGTCTTAACCAAATTTCATGTAAGTTACATTATCCTTTAAATGTTGGAAAGTCACGGTTGGCTGCTAACTGTGGTAGTTTTTATTAAGTTCATAGATGATCGCATTTTTCCCAACTTGTTTTAAACTGTTGAATAAGTTTAAAACCATGTTTGGTTCAGTTGCTTACTAGCTTGTTTAACCTGCAGCTAAATGTTTAACGTTTGTGATTCAACTCTAAGGGAGCAAAGGTTTCAAATGTGTGTTGGTTCATCGCTGAGAGTTGGATAATAATAAAAGTGAAGCCAGGTTCAGTACAATGAATGGGAGCCCAACTATATGTTAGTCAAACACCGGCTAAATACTCGCTGACTGCACTTTTTACTTTGCTAGCATCTTTGTTAGCATGACTTCAAACACAATGCTGTTTTGTTCAGATAAAACCAACCATAATATGACATGACATGACATAGCTTACAGTGGGTGTGGTTAACCTTGATAAAGACATCACTTCCTGTTACTAGTGAAGAGGCTAGTAGCTAGATTTCAGTCTAGATTTGTCAGTATGGAAAATTGTTGGCTACTATTTAGTTACTGGTGTTCAGGCAGCAGGTTAATATAATTCATAAGAAAAAAGTGAGTCAGGTTATAAATTAATGATGATGATAATAATAATACATTTTATTTACAGCTATGTGATAAAGTTCTTGGGCTCAATTTGTCATGATTTCATAATTAATTAATCCTGTAAGAGATGATTTCATAGAAAATTAGCCATAGACTGCACTTATTTTAAATCAGACTTCTGCAGATATGAACTTCTTGGTGAATGGTGTGATTCCTGTCTGTCATATGAGAGAGATCATCACTGAAAATGTCCTGGAAATTTCCTGGAAAAAGAGTGGGAACCCTGTCAGATTTATCATTGTAGCTGCAGCATAGCATCCGGCTGACCTTTGAGTGGTGATATCCAACATTGGGCAATAGTTTTCTTGGCAGCAGAGAGGAGGAAGCTCTGACAGGTTATTCAGGAGATGCAGGGTTGGATCAATCAGAAGAATAGTATTTCTGAAGGTGGAGGTGGTCTACACTGTTTCACACTGTGAAGGAATGAACAATGAACAATCCGATACCATGTGTATGAATGTGGTCTGTGTGGGTAAGATGTACTGGACATGGTTGTAGGTGGTTGTTATATTTCATTGTTTGTATACAATTGTTTGACAGCCCCGGTACAATGTTCACTGCAGTCAACATTTCAGTCAGGAGACCATCCTCAATGCAGGACCTCAGCTCAGACAATAACCCTCTGTACTGGCAACAGAAGGTTAAGGTTGTTGTACATGCTCTCTACTCTTCCAGGCCCAGCCAGTGAATATAGATGTTGTGAGGAAGATCCTGGGGAACAAGGCCACCTTCAGCCCCATTGTCACCCTGGAGCCCCGCAGGAGGAAGTTCCATAAACCCATCACCATGACCATCCCTGTCCCCAAGAGCAACTCCGACCCAGTCCTGAACGGTTTCGGAGGAGACACGCCCACCTTAAGACTGCTCTGTAGCATCACTGGTTAGAGATCACACATAAATCTGTGAATAGACCAAAGAGACAAGCTCACATTCTAATGTGTCAATCTTGTGTTTGTGTACAGGTGGAACAACGCCAGCCCAGTGGGAGGATATAACAGGAACCACTCCATTAACATTTATTAATGACTGCGTCTCCTTCACCACCAACGTGTCTGCTAGGTAAATGTTAAAGCACATTTACTGTAGATTTATTGCCATTTTAATGTGGCTAACTTCACTGTTTCTCTCTAATACTAATTTCAAGGTTCTGGCTCATCGACTGTCGGCAAGTCCAGGAATCTGTCAACTTCTCCACTCAGGTGTACCGGGAGATCATCTGCGTCCCTTACATGGCCAAGTTCGTCATCTTTGCCAAGACCCACGACCCCATTGAGGCCCGGCTGCGCTGCTTCTGCATGACTGACGACAAGATCGATAAAACCCTGGAGCAGCAGGAGAACTTCACTGAGGTGGCCCGCAGCCGAGATGTAGAGGTGAGACAGGAGGAGGAATGTTTCACCAACCACAGATGATCCATTTGAGAAGGCTGGGTAGAAACAACTGTAAAAATAATGTGACGATGTCTTATTTTAGCTTCTTTTACATTAAAAGCCTACCAGCGGCATTTTGTACCAGCTAAAGGCGTGAGATTATATTTTATCTTACATCTTATATGAATTGCATTAATCTAGGTATGGTGATGTGAAACCATGACTAATCCTTTTAAGAGCACTGTGAGAAAAAAAAACAGATTCTTGTGATGACTCCTGTGACTTTTTTGTCAGTGGAGAGATAAAAGAAAAAAATACAGCTATGTGTTTGAATGCAGGGATGGTGTTTACTTTCAGCAGCTTCAGGTTCAAGTTTCAAGTTTCAAGGTTATTTCATTTCTGCAGCACTTTAAAAAGCAAACAGATTTGCACCAAAATACTTTACAAAGATACATACAGAGGCTCAGAGCCTCTCTTCTGATCGGCTCACTGACCTCTAGAGAGAAGCCTGAGAGGAGATGTAAAACTACATTGAAATGCTTTTTGGTTCTTAAAACCACCAATATATCTTCTTGTGGATCAACACTTCAAATAAAACACAGGAGAAGAGGAAAATATTGAGCTTTAAACACAGTTAAAAGCCTGAGAATAGAAGTGGGTTGGTAGTGCTGTAAGGGGGGAGAGGTTCTGAGATATACGTACGGGTCAGACTCTGAAGAGAGTTGTAGACAATCATAAGATTTTTGAAGTTTATTTTGAAATGAACGTGGAGCTGGAGTAATGATTCAAGGACAGGGTGATGCGGTCTTGTTTCTTGGACCTTGTTAAAAACTGGGCAGCAGCATTTTGAATTGGTTCTAAATGGGAGATGGTAGCCTGACAGAGGCCTAGGTAGAGGGAGGTACAGAAGTCCAGCCTGGATTAGTGCATGAATGACTCGTTCTAGATCAGAAGGTGATGAGAAATGCCTCATTATGGAGGTGGTTCTGAGTTGGACGACACTGGACCTGATAATGAAATTTACCTGCATGTTGAAACTGAGATCAACATCAAATGTAACACCCAGGTTCTCTGCATGTGGTCTGATGTAGGTGAAAAGGTACTTTTTCACCACTTTTCAGTAAGGGTTGTTCGATCAAGGCAGCTCATCTGTGTCAAAGCTAGGCTAAGAGAGCAAAAACAGGAATGACAGCTAAGTGTTTTTGTTGGTTACATGTTGTTCTTTTCCCCAGGTCCTGGAAGGCAAACCTATCTATGCAGACTGCTTTGGAAACCTGGTTCCCCTCACCAAAAGTGGCCAGCATCACCTCTTCAGCTTCTTTGCCTTTAAGGAGAACAGACTAGCACTATTCATCAAAGTGAGCACCATTCCTCATCTCTTTATTTCACTCCGAAACAAGCCAAGCCTCTTATGCAGCTGCAGATAATTATTATTATTATTATTATTACCGCATATTTATTTGTTGCATGTGATTTTTTTCTGATGATCAGCTGACTAATGCTGAACCGCTTGGCTGTTGCAGATTCGAGACAACACTCAGGAGCCATGTGGCCGTCTCTCCTTTATGAAAGAACCCAGGAACTACAGGTCACTCACGCAAAATGCCATATGCAACCTCAACATCACTCTCCCATCATACTGCAAGGTGAGGACACTACACTGTTGTTTGAATCAACAACAGAGGAGCCTTTCTGTGGCCTATCTTGTTAGTTCTTGTAAGTAAAACTAGCCAGTTGCTTGTAAGCTCAGCCAAAATGCAATCTTGAGTCTATTTGCCCTGTAGCTCTGTAATACACACTAATCTCCCATTTCTCACACATGACTCCAAAGAGTAACCCCAATTATTTTCTTATTCAATATGCTAAATATTAATTCTTGATTCTCATATAAATTTTTGACAAACGCTGCTAATGCTATGAGCAGCCAACATTATTGCTTTCTAGTTGCTTCTTTACTCTTCTCCTCCTTGTCCCCAGTGAAACAACTTCAAGGCTGAACTAAGCAACATTAACAGCTGGTCGTCTATTATCAGACCAGAGAAAAACGAATCTAATGGATTTAAAGTGCTACACCATAAGTGTGTGTCAGGCTAACACGATGAAGATTTAAGATCTTTATATTCAAACTCCACTTTGGCTTTCCCTGAAATCACACTGACCTGTTGTCTTTGTTGCTATGGTAACCATACATTGCCCCCCACTGTCTTTTTCTCCCTTTAATGTTGCTGTTGTTTCTATCTGTACATCTTTCTGCTTCTCGCTGCTTCTTGCTCCCAAAAGGAGTCCGATTCAGACCAAGAGCCAGAGGACGAGGTAAAGGCAGCCACCGCTTCCCCTTCCCTCTTCTAACTAACAAGCTCATTTTTGCTGTTGTGTTACATGTGTCCTGTGTGTTCTGTATCCTAAAGTAGCAGTTTTATTGTAGTAGTAGTTTTAAAAATATTTGATACATGCAGATGATGCTATAAAACTAACTGTGATTCATTTTCTTTATTCTTTTTTTCCAGACCAGTGGAACGCTAGAGAAATGTAAGAATTTTTTTCCTATTTGATTTTTGCTTTTACTAAACTAGTTATTCTATAATAATACTACCTGTCTGCATTAATCAAACTAATAGAACAGTAGGACTGATAATGAATGGGTGACACATGCAAGACTAATGTATTTGAACAGAGGAATAACCAGACTGATACACTGACACATCCATCTTTACCATTAGCTTAACTCTAGACCATGTACATCTTATCAAAGTCCTTTAAGCTTCATTTATTTTTGTCTTGTCTCACAAACCAAAAGGCCTCAACTGCACCTCCCCGTGCTAACATTATGTTTCTCCTGAGGCTAAACTTCACTTTTTACTTACTTTTTTTCTGATTTCACACCTGCCTCAATGTCCTCAATTGATTTCCTCCCCTTTCACAATTTGAGATGGGACATATGGAGAAGGAGTTAAACACTGCCATCTATGTTTGTAAATGAAAATTAAACTCATTCATACTGTGGTGATGTTTATGACAGCGGCCTCTAATTTCTTGCTTAGTATGAGTCAAGATCAACGAGACACAACTACTACCAATGCTTCTTGTGAGATGTGAGTTCCACCTCCAGTTAGTTAAATAACAGTAGCCATCATATACAGGTGGCAGGAGGAAGGGAATGAGGGCAACCTTTAAAGGGAATAAGAGGAGCTGATGTGATATATTATCACTGAAGCACACCTGGACTCCACAGTTGTGATCACAGTTGTGCTTACAACTCTGGTCGCCCAAATTTGAAAAATTAGTGGCTCATGCCCATGTGTGCTTGCACCCAGTTCCTCAAACTGGGTGTTAGTGATTGTGCCAGCACCCAGTTCCAGGACATTAGAGGTCAGAACATTAGTATTCCTCCATGTGTAGTCCTCCAGTGTAATTGTAAACTAGTCAACCTCCTCACTCACTCTTAATAATTACACCCTCCCTGCCTTATCAATTTTGAAATGTGAAAATGACATAATGATTTTAAAGTTCTGCGTATGTGTTTTCAGAAGAAATTGAATATATATAATATCTATGTTTAATGTTTAAAACCTCACCACATTATTGAATGGGGACATATTAACAAGCAGCTCCTGATCATGAGCGTCTCTTATCCTCTAACTGCAGATTTAATCACTGCTATAAAGTTTTCAATGATTCCATTCACTCCTCACTAGGACCTCTCCATCTGCACTTCCCTTTGCTTTGCATGGAAATAACTTGCCGTACATACATGTGTATGCGTGTGCTTGTGTGTCTGTATGATAATATGTAGTGGCTTGTTAATGAGAGTTCATTTGTTGTTTTGTTGTTGTGCATTGATTTTGGAATGTCCCTTCACAGCATCATTTGCTTATGGTTTTGAGCAATGTGTTTTGTGTTATTTCATTTTTCATTTCAGTTATATTTCAAATGTTTAGTTAGGCCAAAGGCAGACCGGAGGGCAAAGGGAATTAAATAGTCCCTCCCTCCAAGAAGTGTCCTAGTATTCCTGAGATCCTTCGTCTTGAAAGTGAAAGTAAATGATCTGCTGATAGAATGAAAAGCATGGCAAATCATTATATTTTGTCTAAGTTATCACTGGCTTTCTTTTATAGACAATTAGCATCCTGAGTTGTTTTCAAGCCATTTTCGCCTCTCATCACATTGACCTTTGTCATACATCCAAGCAGTCTTGAGATGTTTTGATGATGTTTCTTTGTTTTCTTTGTTGTCTGTTTTTCCATTGTCCGTCTCACTTACTTTGTACCTGGTTTCCACTCAGTTTTTTTTATGTGTGCTAGCTTTGTTTTATAGTTTTGTCTTGTGAGTGTGGATGCACTGAGAGTATAAGCAAGTTATTTCCTGCTCATATCCTTTCCCATCGATATTATTCAGCCTTCAGAGTCCAGTTCCTCTGATACCCTAATGTAGAACCCAATGTGAATTTGTTGTCCTATGATCCCTGCACTATGCTCCAATCTTGTCCTGACCACATTCTCCAATGTCTGTCTCCTTTCATTTAAATTTTTGATTTTCTTTACTCCTTACTTGTTCTTCTTCCATATGGAAGATGAAGAGACGGAGACATCAGTCCTGAAATCAGAGCTGATGCGAGAACCAGACCTCCTATCCGACGTGTCAGAGATGAAACAAGATTTGATCAAAATGACTGCCATCTTGACTGCAGACTCCACAGAGAAATCCCCTTCCTTAGGAGGGTGTGGTCTAGAGAAAGGGACTGAGGACATTTCTGGAGAACCATTAGAAATAATGGAGAAGGACTTAGAGAAAGTCAAAGAGGACCTAGAGAAAGTCAGTGAAATACTGAGGAGCGGAACATATGAGGGCGAGGAGGCAGCAAAAGCAGCTAGAATGTCAGAAGAGTGGGTTCTCCTTTCAGATAGCGAGATAGAAGAGGCCAAAAAGATGGCAGCTTTAGAAATTCAAGAGCCTATCTTACGGGAAAGTAGAGCTAACAGAGGAGCTCCCAGACCTAAAGCCATAAAGGACAGTGGTGACCTTAAAGAATACCTCCTGGATGCACCAGTAACCTCCAAAGTAAAAGTTAAAAAAGAGCCAGCCAGCCAAGAAAGATTCACTGATGTTGTACTACGCAAAGGTGCAAAACCAACCACTCCAACCAAAGTGCACGACAAAACCACTGCTGGTGATGTTAAAAAGCCAGTCAGAAGGAAGGGGAAAGACCTGGGACAGGCCGAGGAATCAACAGAGGCAGGTGCTCTTCTGAGTGTGCCTACAGCCCCTGTCCCAGCATCGCCTGTATCCCCAGTGGTTGAAGAAACTCCCATTGGGTCGATAAAGGACAAAGTCAAAGCTTTACAACAGAAAGTAGAGGCAGAGCAAAAGAGCAAAAAGTTAACTGGAAGCAAGGCTTCACAATTGCCTGTTATGAGCAAATCTTCTCCCAAAGCCAAAGAAAACCCGAAATCAAAACAGGGCCCCCCTAAATCCCCTAAACCTGAATCTGAAAAACTTGAGGAGACCATGTCAGTTAAAGAACTGATGCAAGCATTCCAAACGGGGCAGGATCCCTCAAAGAGAAAGTCTGGGCTGTTTGAGCTCAAAACATCTACTACGTCAAGATCAGAGAAAACCACAAAATCAGAAACAACGCAGTCAAAATCCATGACCAAAGCAATAACCTCACGTGTTTCTCAAGAGCGAGAAGTATCTTTGGATTCCAAACCTCGCAAGAAAGAGACTACTCATCAAGACAGAGAGAAAGAAACCAAGTCAGTTTCTGCTGCTCATCCAGAGTTGACTGAAACCGTAGACTTTGGAAATGGTGGCCTTGATGACAGCTCTGACAGCTTAAAACATGAGGGTGTGGCAGACTCACTAAGTGCCAGCTCTGGAGATGGAACCCCTCATCTTAGCTCTGAGGACAGCTACAAACATGAGGGTTTAGCCACTCCAGGCACAAGTCCTGAAAGTCTGTGTCCTTCTCCCAAAACTGGACATCAGACCTCTACAACTTCAGCACCAGCTACCACAACAATCAAAACTGAAAGTAAAGACACAGAGAAGTCTGGAAACTCTGGTGTAGGGGCCACTGGTGATCAGCTATCTACAGAAATGACCCTCCCTGTCTCTTCCAGCGAGGCTGCAGATGACCACACTACAAGTGAGTCCATATCTGTTAGGAGGAGTGAGTCTAAGCCATCTAAACCTCAAAAGCTTACAAAGAGAATTTCAGAGACTGTAGAAACTTTTCTTAGCGATGATGAGAGCCCTGATCGTCAGCTAGCATTGTCTTTAGTTGGTTCTCCAGCCTCTAGATCATCTTCTCAGCATCATGAAAGCTTAGAGCTGCCTTTAAAACAAGACTCAGATGCTCTCAGTCCATTAGCTGATGACTCTTTGACAATAAGCCACAGAGACTCTCTAGAGGGTAGTCCTCTCATGGAAGAAAATTCCTCCCATAAGTCCCCAGACTCCATTGAACCTAGCCCAACCATGGAATCACCCCCTCACGACTCCTTAGAGAGTAGTCCTGTAGAGCAAACAAGCCACCCTTCCTTCCCAGGTCCACCTAGTAAATCCTCTAGCCATCCAGAGCCCTCCAAAGCTACAGAATTCCCTTATGATGCAATGCGTGGTAGGCTGCTTCGAGACCATGAGGCTAGTGCTGAGGATGACAGTTGTGAGCAGACATCTCAGATGACAAGTTCCGGTAAGAGTCCCCTCTCCCCTGATACTCCTAGTTCCGAAGAGGTAAGTTATGAGGTAAACCCCAAACCCCCTGACCAAACATTCCTCTCTGTTCCATTCAAACCGGCTGTCATCCCTGAAGACCCAGAAGAAGAGGATACCTCAGACAGCTATGGAGCTAAGACAAAAATCACTCCAGAGGAGGAAATGTTTAAGATGGCAGCCAAAATAAAAACATTTGATGAAATGGAACAAGAAGCGAAGAGCAAAAAGAACTCTAGAAAAGATTTGTTTCCCTCAGCAGATGCCAAAATAGGGGATGACAGCTATGAAACATTAGAGCCCACAAGTGAGGAGCTTGCACAAAGTGAATATGGGCTCAATAGACCCACAGAAGATTCAAAGTTAGCTCTTTTTGTTGATCCCCATATTAAAGTACAACCTCCCTCTCCTTTTTCAGCAGGTTTGCATGACGGATGCCACAGCAAAGAGATCAAGAACACAACAACAGCCAGTGTCACTTCAGAGGGACCTCACTCTGTCTCAGACCAGCATCATTCAAAATCCAAACTGGAAACCACACAGGAACAGAGACTCTCATCATCCCTAAAAGCTAATAAAGACTATAGTGACAAAAAGGCTGCTTTAACATCAGACACTGAAAACAGGACTGATGAGCAAAAGGAGGAGTGCTTAAGGAAGTCAAGGGAAAACAAAGGAGATCATAAGGATGGACAAGAGTTATGTGTTACACTAAAACCAGGTAGCAATGTTACAGATGAAGTGAAAGAAGATCATAGGGGTCATACAACCACACCAGAAGCAGGACTTTGTGCAACTGTTGCCACAGATCAAACAAAGGAAATGTTCAAACCGGAAGTCTGTATCTACGATGACACAGAGGAGGATGATGAGGGAGTGGAACCTCCCAGAACCGAGTCAAAAGGTGTCACTGCAAAGGTAGACACTGACTCATGGTCTGCCATGCGAGAGGATGATGCCACTTTTGCAGCTCGTGTCAAAGAGGAGGAACAGAAGATTCTGAATCTGGTGGTGGACCGTCAGTCTCTGCAAGCAACTCCAGACACAACGCCTGGTAGAACACCAACAGAAGAGAGCACTCCTACCAGTGAACCCAACCCTTTTCTCTTCCAAGAAGGGAAGCTCTTTGAGATGACCCGAAGTGGTGCTATTGACATGACTAAGAGGAGATATGAGGAAGAGGGGGGTGGCTTTGCCTTTTTCCAGATAGGTGAACAGCCTTTAGAGGAGCCTCTGTTAGAAGAGGCCAGGCAAGAAGGTAGGGGATCAGCAGCAGAACCTGAAGTTGGCCTCAATCTAACACTAGAGGTAAAGGCTGAGGAAGATGAGAAATCAAAGGAAACATCAGATTCTCAGCTTCAGTCCCCACCTGAAGGTGATCAGCCAGCCTCTAAAGCTGATGCCTCCAAATCTAAAATCCCTAAAATGGGCATTTCAGCTTCAGCCAAACCCACAAAGAAGGATCAGACATCCCCTGAAGGTCTAGAGACCAAAACAAACAAAAATGCAGATGAAGAATCTTTAGATTTAGACACAAGTTGCCCTGACGAATTGATAACAAATGTACAGACAGCAGAAACTACAGTCACTAGATCTGTTTACTCTGAGCAGGGCCAAGAGTCCTCTGATTCTTCTCCAGAAGAACCACAGTCAGTGATTGAAGCCCCAAAACCAACAGGCAAGTCTAAACAAAGTACTTCCAGTAGCATTAAAAAGACTCCAGCCAAAACACAAGCTAAGTCTGCTCCTCAAGGTGGCGGTAAATCCACAAGTCACTCTCCATCTCATGCAACTTCTTCTTCAACCACTCTTAAAAAAGAGGCCTCCTTCACTTCTGAATCTAAATCTAGAATTCCCATCAAGGCTAGCACTGTCAAGCCCGAGTCTACTGTCAAACGTGTTGAATCTACCCAAGACAAAAAGCTCAAAGTCCCTGTAAAAAAGGATTCAAGGAGAAAATCTGAGACAGATGCGGGTCCCTCTGTGGATGTCAAAACCAAGACATCATCTTCCAAAGCCAAGAGCTTCTGTGAAGGGGAGTCTACTAGGCCATCTTCTAAAAAAGAACAGGGTCGTCCCTTGAGTGCTGAGTCTGCAAAATCTAAAGGGTTCCAATCCAGATTGCCAGTCCGGGGCAAAAGTGGTCAATCATCTCATTCACCAGCACCCACTAAAGAGAAAAGTGAGCCACGCAAAAAGTCCATTGAGTTCTTTGAAGAGATAAGCGATGAAGCAGCAAAACTTGTGGCAAGGTTGGCACAGGCAGAGACAGAGAAAGAACAAGAGGCTGCAGCTGGCAACTCGGATGATGAGAGCAGTCTCATTGATCCGTCAATCATAGAAAGAGAACCTTTTCCTGAGATGCAGTTCCCTCCCTCAGGAGACATCTTTCCCATTAGACCACTGTGGGACGACCCTGTTGAGACACAGATGCAGCGAATCCCAGATGATAAAGTCCAAAGTCAAGGTATCCCCCCAGTTTAAGGGGCTATTCTCTATCTCTTCTGCCTCATTAGTACACTAGCTGTAAAGGTGCTGCCTCTCTGTCTCTTGTAGTAAGTCCCGTTGTAGTTGAAGACTCCATGTGACCGTGTTGCTTGAGCTGTGTTTGTGTTTGTAATGACGTCTCTCTTTCCTTCTATGTGTGCAGAAAATCTCAAGATTGACTTAAAGGCTTTATGGAACTTGCAAAAACAACTTAGTGACTAAAACCGTGAAAGATTGAAGTGCAAATAATGATCTGAACCACATGTATTGTCGATAATTTTCTAATGACTGAAATGTAAGTTTGTTAATCATAGTGTCACTTCAAGATCTATTACAACTATTCTTTATAGGCATATTATTTTACTTTCCCTAGGTTAAAATTTCTTTATTTGATTTTAGAATTAACAAAACAGCCAGTAGTACAAAAAGAAGAAAGCCAGTGAAGATTTTTTTCGGATATCATTTGTGAATGTAACTTGATTTGGTAAACTTTCGCGGCTCTGACCGCTCATGGCTGTCTGGTGGTATTTGCAGTAGACCCACAGGATGAAGCAGAGAGAAAAGAGGAACGGTTGGCCATTATAGCCGACCACCTGGGCTTCAGCTGGACGGGTGAGACACACCTTTGTAGCAGTGATCAAATGATCAAGCTCAAAAATATGGATTATTACTTAATTTTTGGCAGGTTCTCAAGAAACATCATTTCAGATATTTGAAATTTATCTTCAGATCATCATAATCATCATTATATCTTCTTTTCTGAACAGAGTTGGCACGAGAACTGGATTTCAGTGAGGAGAGGATCAACCTGGTAAGGACTGAAAACCCCAACTCACTGCAAGACCAAAGCCATGCCCTTTTGAAACTTTGGGCAGAGGGGGAGGGACAGCATGCCACAGGTTAGTGATAAATAGTGCATACTTCTCAGAATTGTTACTTTTGAAACAAGTACAAAGTAGAAGGTCTTATTAAAGTGGAAAGTCTGTTTTCTGTTTCAACAGAAATGACATTGATCAAAAGGCTGACAAAGATTAACCGAATGGACATCGTTCACCTCATTGAAACCAAGATAATCAAGTCCACACAGGAGGAGACGACATCACATACCTATGCAGAAATCGAGCGGACCATAGCACTGGACCATAGTGAAGGTACACAAGCCAACGCTAACTTGAATTAGACTGATGATTTGGTTGTTGTTATGTCTATATATAATATTCTGTTTGATTGTTTTCCTATACAATTCAGTCATGTACCCTAACTCTTCTTGCACTAAATGCCTGCACTGTATCCTTTGTCAGGTTTCTCTGCTCTTCATGACGACATTGACAGCCCCAGGCCGGGCAGACGCACGGAGCCCACACATAGGAGCCCAGGCTCAGGACAAGAGGTCCCCATAGTGTCAGCAGAGGACCTGTCCTCCAGTTTGTCATCACTTCATGACACGACAGGACGATCAGAGACAGACTCCACGGCAACAGGACTTCTTAGAAATACCCAAAAAGAGAAACTACAAAAAGAGATGGAGACAACATAGTAAGTATTCCAGAAAGTTCAGTCCATGTGACCACACCCATATTAGCTTTCTTGTTGTTTCCATTTTTATCTACAAGCATGTACACAGAAATTGTGCATTGCTAACTTTAGCTTGCAGGCTAGATAGCTAAATAGCTAGACCACTATAGCACATTGCTCAGAAACTTCCCCCTGATGTCAGCATTGGTCAGTTTAGATGTTTGTTTTGGTCTTTAATCAGAAGGAATCACTTAATGTTGAAATGCTCTTTTTTTTGCAGCTCATCACAAAGAATATATGAGGAAGTGACGGACTCGGTACACGCAGGCAGTTTTAAACAAGTAAGTCCTCTCTTCACATTGTACCGCACCTCTCCCTACAACCTTCGATCCAATGTGATAGACCCTGTGTACAAAGGGGCACCAAAGTTAGGTGCTCAGGTTGCCGTACCTCCTTACCCCGCTGTTGAACCAGCTGATGATGAGGGGGCTGCTGGATATGAGGAGGCAGAGGGGGGAGAGGAGTGGAGCTTGGAGTGCCTACAAACTACCCATTCACAATACGACAGTCATTATTTGTCACCGTCACCTTGCCGAGAGTCATCCAATAACTCTCGAACAGGCGTATGCGAGAGCCGACCACTGTCTATGACCGATTTTGGAGATAGCTTGACTGAGTGTGAACAAGCTGAGCAAGACTTCAGAAAACTGTCTATAGAGCTTACAGGAACTGATGAGTTCTCTGAAAAGTATCAAGGATCAACAAGTGAACAAGTGCTTCAGCCTACTCAGCCTACTTCAGGGCCACCCTCTGTTTCTGTTAATGCAACAACAGAACCCACACACACCAAACAAATGGCTTCAACACACATGGATGAAGTTTCACGTCGACTGTATAAAGTCCTGTATGGATATGATGTTGAACAGAGAGATTCAGATAATAAGGATGTGTCTGTAAAGCCTATGAATGCATCCCCTGTAGGCACAATTCAAGCTGGAGTCAGGAAAGATGAAGTTGAGCATGAGATTGGTGTTTATCAGGCCACAATTTCTGGTGACCTTAATGTCAGATCCAGTGACGACATAAATCAAACCCAGGACACAAACACTCAAAAACCAGTGGGTTCTACTGATGTCGGACATACAGTTCCAGGTTTGGCATCTAAAAAAGCAGAAGTCATGAGCTCAGCTGGCTTTACTCAGTTGTCACATGACTCAACTTTTGAGGAAACACTGTCATTCAGACAAAATGAACCTGAAGATAAGGCTATGTTCTCCGTAGAATCTACACCTGAGCTTGAAGCATCCAGATATAAATCCTGTTTATCAGAATCCACAGCTGAATCCATTTGTGAACTTCATAGTTTAGTTCCTCATAGATCGTTTTCTGAATGTGAGACTGAGACAGCAATATTACTGACAGAGAGTAGGGCCTCATCACCTGAATCAGCATCATCAGTAAATGAGTTGAATTTTGTTGTACCTGATTCTCCAATACCTCAGTTTAGGCCCTTGTCTCCCCTCCCACCCCCTGTTTTCCCATGGGAAACCAGTGATGCTGGGGCATCTGCTCAGGGGCAATCATTACTGAGTGCGCCAGGAGGCACCTCTACGCTGTTGACATGTGAGGCAGAGGAAAGGCCATTAACACCAATGGTGTCTAACAAAAGACCATTTGGACGGCCAGTATCACTAGGCAGTGATTATAGCAGTGAGAGATCCATCTCACCTCAGTTATTATCTTTTGACATAGAGGACAGAATATCATCACCTGAGTCTGTTGTTTTAGAAACCGAGCAGTGGCTTTTTACATCTTCTGAGCATGTGATTCTGTCTCCTGATTTCCATGAAATGAGATCATCATCTCCTAAATCCATGGAGTCCATTACTGCACATTGTCTGCTTCCACCACACTCCCCTGTCCCAGAATTTAGACAAGGCATCTCTGAGACTTCAATGCCATCAGATAAGGACTTAGAAACTGAGGTGTTGTTATCAGTGTCTTTTGAAGACAGGCCCTCATCCCCAGTATCTGTAGCATCTGTAAATGAGTATAAAGCATTGCCACCTGATTCACCTACACCTCAGTTCAGTTACAACTTGCCGGACTCAGCTATTGACATGAAGGGGGAGAGATCTTCTTCACCTGAATCAGTATGCTCCGATGTGGAATATGGCTCAATGTCTCCAACATCACTCAGTCATGAGACTAGAGCTTTATCACCTGTTTCAGTTGCATCTGGAGATGAATCTGAATCTGTTGTAACTGTCATTGAACATAGAATACCCTCCCCAGAATCAACTGAATCTGCACAGAGAGTGTGTCATTCCATATTAGCTGATCATAGACCAAAATCACCTGAACCATTAGTCTTTGATACAGAGAACAAACCACCAACACCAGAGGAATTAGTATGCGGGCATGATGATGGCTGGGTTATTATAAATTTGTCTGATATTGAGGAGAGACCACTTTCTCCAGAGTCTGTGTCTGACTACAGACCAATTTCTTCACAGTCAGCGATGTTAGACATTAGAGCATCTTCTCCTGAATCCTCTCATGAGTGTCTGTCCCCAGATTCTCCCATTCCACAACACATGCCATTTGTGCCACAGGCTGTTAATATAAATGATCACTCATCATCACCAGAATCTGTGTTGTCATATACAGAGTATGAGGCTTTACCTGTGTTGTCATATCTTGAGAATAGGCCATTATCCCCTGATTCTAGTGGTTCCATAAGCGATTATGGGCCATTAACAAATCCTGTAACTTACCTACCTCCTGAGGAAAACGTGGAACTTAAATACACAACACAAGCTATAGGTGTTTTAGAAGAGACATGTATTGAAAAGCAGTTTGAAGAAAAATCACATGTCATTTTTGATCTAGAGAAGCTAAAATACGAAGAAACAAAGTGTGTTCTGTCAAAATCTGTAGAAGAAAATCCAGAGAAATATGGTGAAACTGAAGCTCCCAAGATACAATCAGATGTGCCTGGTTGTGGTCAGTCTGATACAGTCACACAACCAGCAGAAGCTGAGGTCTTGTCAACTGATGTAATAACAGAAGAACTGTCTCATGAGTTGTTTAATGAAGGAAAATCTGTAACTAAGAAGACAAAATCTGCTAAAAGGAGAAAATCTAATAATGCAGTCAAAATTGATTATGAACCTGTGCAAAACATTAGAGAATATCAAAAGGAATCATCTGAATTTATATCTAAAACGCATAAAGAGACACAAGCCTCAGATCAAACTGTGTCACTTCCTCTGTCATCGGAGAGTGCATCCGATGATCTACCATTGTCATTGGCATTTCCTCCAAATGTCCCGGAAGATCAGCAAACACCCAGAGATTCTTTGGTTTCTGTACCTCAGCTTCATGTACCTTTGTGTTCAGTGCCAGTCTACAGTTTATCATATGATGTAGACCTTTGGAAGCTTATCTCTCAGATCCGAGACCCACAGTATGTGGGAGAAACCTTCATGAGTAAAAGAGAAGTTTTTCAGTTTGCAGAAACAAGGAATGAGTCTTATCAAGCAAATTCAGATGGGGCAGCTGGAGATGAAACTGCGTCTTTCCAATCAGAAAATGACCAAAGAACACTTTCACCCGATTCTGAATCAGAATATAGACCCATGTCACCAGAATCACTCTTGGTGCTGGAATCATTCAGATCAGATTCCTCCCACTCAGGGAGATCCGTAGATAGTCAGCAAGCTTTAAGTGCAGATTCCCCTGTTCCTCAGTTCTTCAACTCTTTCTCTGGACCTTCACAAGTTTATCACAGATCAGTGTCATCAGAGTCAGTATTGTCAGATCTGGAACTGGAGACTGATTTAAATATTTCATGTCTTTTTGAGGACAGACCAGCATCTACTGATTCAGTATCATCTATAAACATATACAGTGCACTATCACCTGACTCACCTATTCCTGAGTTTAGGCAGTTTTTACCAGAATCAGTTCTCAGTGTTAGATTGGATTGGTCTTCATCACTTCAAACAATAGCCTCAGATCTAGAATGTGGGACTTCCTGTTTATCATTATTATTATCTGAGAGCAGGCCGTCTTCTCCAGACTCAGTCGATGTAAACAGGCCACTTTCCCCTGAGTCGCCTATTCCTGTCTTTTTACAGGCTTTACCAGAATTTGCTGTTTCTACCACACTGGAAATGTCTTCTTCACCGGTTTCAGTTTGTTCAGATCTAGAATATGGGACCACAGCTCTGTCACAACTGTGCTCTGAAGTGAGGCGATCATCACCGGAATCGGTATTTTCTGAAGATGACTACAGAGGTGATCTGCTCAGGTCATCTCCTAAGTCATTGGTTTCAGATGTTGAATATGCTCAGTCAAGTGAAGATATAGTAATTTCCAAGCAGAGACCTGACTCACCAGATTCACGGGTCCCGGAGAACACAGAGAGAGTACTGGGTGATTGTAATCAAACTCTAAAGGCAATCCAGGTGCCAGTCTTTAGACTTGTTTATGATGCTGAACTATGGAAGCTCATTTCTCAAATATGTGATCCTCACTATGTTGGAGAGACATTCTGCAGTAAAACAGGGGTTTTTGAGTATGCTGGAACTAGAACTGAGTATGTTCGGGAGGATTCAGGTGTGACAGAGGATGGTATGAAGTTGGACATTGCAGATTCATCTGATGCAGATGTTCTGCAAGCAGCACCAGCAAAGCATGAGAGGGAAGAGAAACCAGTATCAGAATACAGGCCTTCATCACATGGGGAATTGACATTCAGGTCTGAATGTCCAGAGTCGATGAAAGACTTGTCTCCAGATTCCCCAGTTCCCCAGTTTTCCATTGACTTAGCTAACATTTCACAGTCTGTGCCACATTCACAACAATCAGCAGTGTCAGATGAGGAATTAGACTGGTTTTACAATGAAATTAGACCTTCTTCAGCCAGTTCTCCAATATCTTTAGATGAAAACAGGGTATTGTCACCTGACTCACCTTTACCAGACTTCACACCTGCAGTACCTGAATCAGTTACAGCTGTCTTTGGGTCCAGGTCCTCTTCGCCACAGTCAGTGCTCTCAGATATCAAATATCAGTTTTCAGCTTCAGAAAACTTTACATGCCAGAGAGCAGACTCACCTGAATCAGTTGCTCCCATGCTTGAGGAAGAGCAATCAGCTGCTGGTGCAACATTTAGAACAAACCAGCTGATACATCAATTATATGACCCTCACTATGTAGAGGTTGAGATGAGGCCACTTTCACCAGAATTTGAAATGGAATATAGGCCTGTGTCACCTCAACCACTGATGTTAACAACAGAAATAAAAACATCATCTCCTGATTCAACATCAGC